CGTCGGCGCGAGCTCAAGCCACGGCCTGTTCCCGGACGGTCTCTGTCCACCGGAGCCCGCGGGCGGCAGTCGGGCCCTCCGGGTGCGCACAGCTCGGGGCGGCTGCGGGGAAGTCACGGGGCGCAGCCGACGGCTGGCCCCTGCGGGCGCCGCCGCAGCTGACTGCGGCTGGTGCGCCGCGCTCTAGCCTGACCAGCCACGGTAGAGCGCCAACACCCCCTAACGCCACTGTCTGCCGGCACTTGACTAAGGCAAGTAAGGAAATTGTCCTTTGTTGGATTCCTGGCCATAGTGGTATTGAGGGAAACGAACTGGCTGACGCTGCAGCGAAGCGAGCGGCGCTGGCACCGTGTACACGTGCGTTTCCACCTCCTGCACGGGGCTTTTACCCGGCCATTAGAACATATATTCACAAGTGGCGACGTAGTTTGGATACGATGCCAAACAACAAGCTCTATGCCATAAAACTTAAGCTGGAGCACTGGCACTTCTGCTTTCGCCGGTCTAGACGAGAAGAAATAACACTTGGTGTGCTGCGCATTGGCCACAACCATGCGACTCACGGGTACACCCTGTGTGACAGAGACCCAAGTGTTCCAGTTGAGGTGCTCCCCTAACCGCACACCATGTGATGAGCTCGTGTCCGCATTGCGACGACGAGCGTCCGCGCTGCTTTTGGAAGGTGTGCTTCAACGTTTCGATGTCGCGACGTTACGGGCAAACACTGTGCTTTCCTGAGAGCTGCTGGTTTTTCAGCCATAGACAAACACGGTTCGATAGGATACACGTCGCTACGGGTGCCAAGTGGCCGTAGATGTCAGCGCGCCCCGAAAGCGGCGTTCCACCGGGCCCCAAAACCTCGATTATCATTACCTGACGGCATCTATTTGGCCGTCGATATCCTAGTACATTTTTGGCGTGGATGCCGCTCGGGGCGGCCGTGCGCTGACCCGGCCGAGACGTGGGAATGTCAGGTTAGCTTAGGTGCAAACGTTAGTGGGGCGCTATTCCGATCGTCCGGATTGTCGAGTGACGCGGGTATTTGTAAGTACCGCTGTGGTTGCTGACACTGTTACACCGCGGTAGAAACTGGGACCGGTTGGCGCCCGCTGTGCTGAGATCGAAACGACACATCAAGCTGGCAAAGACGTCAAGAGCCAAACTAAAGCCGAAGCTGTGGCATCCGTGGCCGGTTAGGGGGGGGGGGCACCTCCACTCCCGTCCGTGATCGCTCAGTGACAGCCGGTGGCGGGGCGCCCTCCCCAGCCGCTCGTTGGCAACACACATTTGCGAGCGTGCAGCGACGTTAGTACCAACCCTAAGCAACATCAGCTCACAAACCATCTGCATAACCCGTCAAGCCTCGTACGTTTAGTCAACGACAGGCTAATGCCAAGCAGGCGAACAACAACCAAGCGGCGACATCGTGATGCACGAGAGGCAAACACGGCGACGGGTGAGGGCGCGACGTGCAGGGTCGATCTGGCCAACAGGGCGGGGTGAGCCGACGGGCGGCGGCGCCGCAGCGGCGCTCCGCCCGGGCGCGGCACACACCCCGACGCTTACCATCGGCGGACTGGCCCCCGGTGGGAACATTCCCGGGAAGCCGGCGGCCATTGGAGGAGGCATCTATAACGGCCAGACACCATAACCGTCAGCCGGGGCCGTCGGCCAAGCGGCGACACAGCTCGCGCGCTACCGGCGCACACGCCACAGCCCGCATCAGTCGGCGCCGATCCAGTACACCTACAACGCTCGCTACGCCGCAGGGCGCTAAGGCGCGGCCAGAGCACTCCCCACCGACTGGAAGCTAAGGTCGTCTGAGTTATGGCCCCGACGGCCCGCTGACTATCAGCGGCGCGGAACCGCACGCGGTCCCGGCCCGGCGCCTCAGCGTCGCCGCACGCACCTTGTAGTCGTTCATCCACATGTTGGGCGGCATCTTCTGGCTCATGCCCATCTGCTGGAGCAGCAACTGCTGGATCTGGCCCAGGCTCATGGGCGGCAGGCCCATCTGGGCCATCTGCGCGGCCATCGTTTGCACCAGCATCGGGTTCATCATGGCGGCGGCGCTCATCGCCTGAGGGCGGATACGAGAGACGGCATCACAGCGACGCGGGGCCAAGAGCGCCCGTGGGGAGGCGGGCGGACACGGGAGGCGGCGAACGGAAGTATCGCAAACTGAGCCTCAGCAAGTGATCGTACAGTACGGCTTGTATGCCAACAACACAGTACAGCTCGTGTAGCCAACAAATTGGCCCAGTTCCAAACGTGTGCGGAGGGGGTATTCGGAGTCGTTTAAAAGTTAGCCAGCTTGACTGATCGAACGCGCCTGAATGCTTTACTCTCAAGCAGTGCACGGATCAAAGAAACAATGCATCCATGAATATTTTTGCTAAATCACCCTGAAATATGGGTGCAAGGGTCAAGGTCGAGTTTACAACAGTACTTTAACCAAATAAACAATAATTACCACCTAGCTCGTCGTATAACGGTTGTTTCTGCACTACTGAAGCGCTAAGTTGATAACGGAGACCGTGAAGGCTCATGCTTGAAAAGGAGTGTCTCAAATTTGTATGGGGCTTTGAATTAAAATAGCCATCTCATTCAAGAGAGAGAGAGAGATGGAGATTTATTCGGTACAGTTCACAGCCCTGACCTTCTTAAGAACTAAAACCCGCTAGTTTCTGAGCTACGCGTCAGCAAAGACGTGCAGACTGTCTCCGAGGCTATTTCAAGGTCACCCAAGCATCTATGCCGCCCAAAACGTCATTCAATTCTTGCCATTCCGTTAGCCATGCGGCAGTCATGGCCAATAGAAGTAACGTTGTCGAGTCGTTTATACCTGGCGTTCGTGAGTACGTTTCCCAAATGTGACGGCTGTCAATTGGCTTTTAACCACTGCTGTGTAAAGTACCATGTCGTAACCGAAAAAAATGACACATTGGGGAGCATCTTTACTAAACAGGAATTGTGTTGTATGCAGCAGTCTTTTCCACTTGAAAACATACCAATGGTTCTAAGTGAGCTTATTTCATCACATCTGATACTTGCTTCCATGTCTTGATATGTGGAACATTCCCTTTAAACAAAACACAAAACCAGTGTGGGCGGTAGTGTAGCTAGCAATGGGCGGTAGATAAATATGTTAGTTCAAATGGGCTGTAACATGGCAATCACATCCACAGTTTAACTCACCAACAGTTGATCATCATATAGCTGCTTGAGGACAAATGCAGACATGCACAGGTTATATCATCAGCTACCTTTCACATAAAATTCAATGCCAATATTTTTCGATGGTAAGGTCACCTAGGAACACCAGCTTTTCTGCCATCAACCATTCACACCCTAGCATCTCTGATGACTTGTCTCATTTCTGATATTACTGTAGATTCACAAAGGAAAGGAAACATTTCAAAAGTGCAGTAAAACACTGCACCAAGGCTCACTCCAACGCCACTATTAGAAAAGTGATGCCTCAACTCACCAAAAAGAAGCAACACGCTACTGACAAAGCGAAGTATCACGGAAAAGCCCAAAGAGAACACATCAGCGCCGGTAACTGCTAAGATAAGCACGCCTATAAAACCAGACCACGCCGCAGCACCGCAACACACCACCACCACCAGCATCTCCTTCCATTCACATCTGCAGGCCGCGCGCGAGCTGTCCTCGCCCGGGCGGCGTCAGCGGCCGCGCCGGCGCCGGCCGCCGTCTCCACTCACCGAGTTCGGTTTGACGGCCACCTTCATACGCGGCCCCGAGGCGCCCGGCGGGGCCGGAGGCATGATCATGCCGCCGGGCGCCAGCCGGGACAGACTGCCCGACATCAGCGCTGGAGAACACGGAGAGGTCACGCGGTCAGACTCACAGACCGCCCAACATCAGCGCTGGAGAACACGGAGAGGTCACGCCGTCAGACTCATAAACTGCCCGACATCAGCGCTGGAGAACACGGAGAGGTCACGCCGTCAAACTCATAAACTGCCCGACATCAGCGCTGGAGGACACGGAGAGGTCACGCCGTCAGACTTGGCAGACTGCCCATGTCTCCCTGCAGAACACAGAGGTCGCCTGAGCAGACTTAACAAACTATTTTGAAACAAACCACAGAAACCACAGCTGCAGAACACAGTCACAAGGTCAGACTGGGCAAGCTTCCCTACGTCAGGGTTACAGAGCAGACATGATGAGGTCAGCCTCACAGACTACCTGACGTCACGGCAATTGAATGCAGACTTTACACAGCTAGAAACCCCAGGCTGCCTGGCACCAGAGCACCACAATAAAAGGGTGTCCTATTTCAAACAAAGTACTGAAATTGACAGAACTGTATCTGCGGGAGGCTGGTTTTACCAATTTTATCGGCTGCAATGCCGGGAAACTGTATTGTTGCGAAAGGTACTGCATGACTGTCAGTGCTATGACAATGCTCTGTGGGCCAGGATTTTATTTAGCAATTACAAAGAAAATGGTGGGGATGAGGCTGAAGTCACCCAGCCTGAGCGGCTGGATAGACAGGCATCCCCTGCCAATTGCATTGCTAGAGCAGCAGTGCATACTGCTCCAACTGCTGCACTGGTCATCCCTGTCACTCCCACCACTGCACCAGCAATCCTTCCCACTCCCACTAATGCCCCAGCAATCCGTCACTTCCAGCACTGCACCAGCAATTCCTCCCACTCCCACCACTGCACCAGCAATCCCTCCCACCCCCACTAACGCCCCAGCAATCCGTCACTCCCACTACTGCACCAGCAATCCCTCCCACTCCCACCACTGTGCCAGTAATCCCTGTCACTCCCACCACTGCACAGCAATTTCTGACACCTACACAGCTGCACCCGCCAATGCCGCCCAGCGCATCGCCGCAGCAGCGCTGCGCCGCGCCCACTCACACTGCTGCAGCATGCCGGCCGGGTTGACGTGCGGCGGCTGCGGCTCCTCCGTCTTGATCACCTGGAAGCCGGCGTCGCTGCTCTGAGCGTCTGCCTTGGTCAGCAGGCCGCCCGGATCAGACGGTCGATCTTCGACTGGCGCTGTGAGGAGCCCGGCTCGGGCTTGACGGTCAGGCTGGAGCTGGAGCTGGAGCTGGAGCCCGAGCCGGAGCCGCCCGCCACGCCGGACGAGTCCATGGCGGACGAGAGCAGGTCGGAGGGGAGGCCGGGTCGGCCGTTGGTGGCCGGGCCGGAGGAGTCGCTCACGTCTGTGATGTTTTTGCCACCGCCTGGGGGTGAAAGCCACAGCCAGTGGTGAGAGGTGTCAGATGAGGTAAGCTTCCCAGTCAAAGAAAGGGGCCTAAGCCAAGTACTGCTGACAGCCCAAATCCAAAAGGATGGACAGGTCTGATGAGGCATCTGCAATGGCAATGATTACTGCGTTGCTAGCCATGGTATAACAGTAAACATAAGCACCACTCTGGTAAACATCCCGACCCATCCCCACAAACAACAGCATGAGTCATGCAGGTGATACAGACTTTTCATTATGATCACTCACATGCACATATTGCAAAATACCCACCTGGCACTTCTGTTTCATCTGGATCCCAGTCAGAGTCCTCAGATGATACAGAGCCATCTGACTCCTCTTTGTACTTGGGCATCCCCTTTGCCTGCAAATATAAAGCCAATACCATGTCACCCAGCACCTGTCACAAAGCTCAAGCCCTGGTTGGAGTGTACCAGCAGTGTCTTATAGATGACTGGGGCTTTGAGGCATGCAGGCTGTCCAAATCATCCATTACATATTGCCAACCAGTGATATGATGCAAGATATACAACAAAAAATCACAACATCAATAGTCTGGACCATATATACTATATGTATGGCATTACAAGTGTGGCTAGCATGCATCAATGGAGTTTTACAGCACACAGAGATGCTGAGGCTTCATCATGTTGTCTCCCTCTAAACCCAGGCAAAAAGAACAGGCACAGCACGCAATCAAGCCACATACCTCTGGTGTCCCAGATGCATAGCTGCCCGACCACTACACTTCTGATGCTCGACTAGTGCAGCTGAGCCAGCAATACTAGTAGTGCTGTTTCACAAAGCATGATCCACCAAGCATGTTCTGCCAAATTATGACTAGCTGTATTAGGTTCTGTGACTTAATTACTCCCAAGATCTAATCATCAGATCACAGAGGTTAGAAGGACAATATCATCCATTTTTCTCCCCAGGATGCACAAAATGGCCCCACTGCATGACAACATCAGTGTTTATCACAAACATCTGAATCCTGAAAATAATTTTTCACTTTTTGAGTCTGCACTGATGGTACAGAATATCACATATTTGCTTATATACACCATATCATTGTTTATATATTTATTGTTCTCTCTTAAAAAAACAATAACCCTAAATACGTAACTCCATGGTGTGCAATTGAGCATGTGCCACATTAAACAACATTTCTGCCATGATTGTCAACAAATACAAAAGAGCACTCATAATATTTGCATTGGAACACTGGAAAGCCAGCATGAGAAGCTTGTTTCTACCCGGTATCTTCCCTCAATGTTTCCACATTTACCAGGTTTGCCCCCTAAAACACCATAGGATTTAATAGCCTGCATGCAAGCATGCCAAAAATTGCTGCACAACTCTAAAACTCACCAAATGTTGTTGGCAACTGCAAAGTAATGTAATTGGGGGTTCCAGATGCCTACCCTAACCTGGCAAAGAAGTGCCTGGTGACACAATATGCTAAGCTCATCAAAAACAAAGCTGGCTGGAATTGTCTTGTGGAGTTTAGCGTGGGGTCTCATAATGACATCATTGATCTAACCAAACAATCAAAACTTATGTTGGTATCAACATCAGTCAAACTGATTGCATAATACACTTGAGAAATTAGTTGAGATTAACTAGCATTGTGTAGTGGTATTCCACAAAACCTGGGAATTTAATTTTCTCCCATGCATTTGAATATAAGCAATTGAATAACAATTGAATATAAACATTAAAAAATTTGAAATTCATATGTACACAATGTCATGTTCAAATAATATAGCTTATTCACTCAGATGCAATAATTGAATGATACAAGGTTACAGGCCTGCATATCACCATTTGCATTAACTATGAGAATGGTGCTGAACTTAACAATGTAGTAAATGTGTGCACAATCTCTCCCTCATGTCTACTCTGCTATCAATAAGATCTCTTATTTGGAATAATCCAGAATACAGGTACTGCAAGTTATAGTGAAGTTTTTCACATGCTTCAGCCAAAATAAATGTCATACACAAATTCATGGAGCATAATGCTGTACAAAATAATAACCAGAATGCTTGCACTAGTAGCTAGCAAGGTTCCTGCTTCAACAAAGGATGACCAACAAACCAATCAAATTTAAGTTATTAAATGATGGCAAAAACTGATAATGCTTGAGCTTTCTTATACCATAATATCAATAATACAAGCTGAATTTCAAATACTACATAAAAGATGCACACATTTATTAAAACACCAGAATCACAGTCATCAGAAGCAAAACCAGAGCAAGTAGTTTGCTTTCCCAGACAACTGGAATATGCCTGCAATGTCTCATTACTTGGCACATCTAGGCCTCTAAACATGAGCAATGTGTGACAAATAATGTAACAACATGCAGCACCCAACATGCAACATGTACCATGTAAAAATGTGACAACACATGCATCAATGTCCCATAGAACTGTTGAATAAGCAGCCAGATTTTCAAAAATCAAAAGAAAAATAAAACAAAGTAAAGTCTCTAGTTTCTTGCAAGTCTTAAGGAAAACACATCACTAAGCCTAGGTAAAATTAGGAAGTTATGATAAAGACATGGCAGGTCTGAGAGTTTCAAAGAAGCCTGCCATTTGTCCAGTGTGAGGTACTTCAGGTACCTGACCTGTTCTGTAACTTTTTTTTATAAACCTGAAGGTCTTTCAAGGCAATGCATGATTAATCTGGCTATGTGGAATATATGCACAATTCATATCTTATATTTTACTCCAATGACATCATGAGCTATTGCTATGCATAGGCTAAAGCAGAAAACATGACCTGACCACACCAGTAATACACTTGAATGTAAACAAGAACTTTCATCCATGCAAGATTGCCAAAAATCATTAAATGGCATCTAAAATAACCACACTGACATGTGGCAGCCCAACTCCAGGCTAATCAATCTCAGTTAAGATTGCTCTTGGATAGTAAAAATACTGAGAAATACCTGAGGTGCAAAAGAGCCTGCTGCTCTGGTGGTCAGGTGTCCAGCTCTCTACCCAAGTGAGCTGCAGTCTGAAGCTGAAGTCCAACCCATCATATGCCAGAACTTGTGACTTAATAAATCAAGCATCCTTAGCACCAAACAATGCATGCAACAGGGTGGCCTTGTCATATGCATATTGCTACTAAAAAATTGTCACATTCTCCACTCACACCCAACCCTGTTAAATCGACGCAAGGCTGTCTAGCACCGACGCGTGCTGGCAAATCCCCAATGCAACCCACACTGCGCCACAATCGTCTATCGTCCCCGATAAATCGACCAATGATGACATGCACCACGACGTCATGCTGAAATACCGGCTTCTCATAAACCTACGTCACCATAAATTTGATTTCAGCTGTCAAATCTAGTCACAGGTCATTTAAAGACGCCAATTACTGTCGGCATAGTCATCATGGTGCGCCACTCACCACGCTGCCCCGGTATCGAAATACTCAGATAGCACGGAAATCTATGGAATGGCGTCCAATTCATCGCGAACATTATCATTTATTCAACTGGCTAACGTCAACGAGCATTACTTACAGGGCGTTTCGATCTGGAAGAGGACATCGCCGCGAAGGACCGACGCGACACCCCACCGCTTTTTTCCTCCTCTCCGAACTGCGTTTCCCGCCATCTGGTGGCGCCATCTCCAAACATTGGCTGTACGGTACAGATTCATTCAGGCGTTACTGGTGAGGAGAGCCCACCAGGGTAACTCGCGTAAACAGAAACATCGTCTCCTCCGTCAGTGGTAAAATTTCCACAACCGTATGTTGAAAAAATGTAACAGAACGTACATCGTTACTTGTACCGGCGCGTGCACAACCACATGCGTGATCGATATAAATTGAATTAATGCGCTCGAGGTGACCGGAAAAAGCGCTGTGGCCAATTGAAAAACGAACCCGAAAGTAATTCCCTACATCATCACTCTGACTGGCATATTTTCCAGCTGACTCCGTGTGGAGGCGAACACCTTCGAGCGACCCACCACACAGAAGAAATGCAAACGAACGTTGATTGAAAACGTGTTCTCCGAAAACCGTATGCAAAACACACCAATGACAATGACGTGAAAACTGCCTAATGAACAAGCGATCAGGCGTGTTGCATCACAGCCTGCGCAACGTCACGAACGCGCACCAGATACCGCCACAGACGTACGCACACAAAACGCCACTGCTCCGATCACTCATATTTGAATTCATTCTGTTTTGAATAGCCGAATCGAATTTCAGTAAATTCGGTCACTCAATCTCCGCTGTCCAGCGGGACCGCGAACACCGTGTTGACCACGAGGAAGGCCGGCTGGCCGCCGGGCACCGGCTGCAGGCCTATCTCCGCTGCCGGCCCGCCAGCCAGAGCGTCAGTCACGGCCCGCAGGCGGCGCTGCAGTGCCGGCAAGGTGGCCGGCCGCACCGGCATGCCCAGCAGCTGCTCGGCAGGCTCGCCGGTGAGTAGCGCCTCGACGGCAGGCGCGCCGCCGCCGCCCAGCTGCAGCGGCAGCACCAGCACCAGCGCCATCTGCTCGCCGCAGTAGGCGCAGAAGTGCGCCGGCTCCAGCGCCGGCGTGAAGCGCATCGGCGGTAGAGCGGCGCCCACGTACTGCGTGCGGCAGCGCGGACCGCGGCACGTGGCCGCCAGCCACTCCAGCGGCGACGCGTCGGGCGCAGGCGGCGCGCAGCGCACGGCACAGCGCGTGCGGAAGCGCTGGCCGGCCGGCTGCGCCGCTGCCTCGGCCAGCGGCACGAGGCGCAGCCGGCGGTCGGTGACGCGCAGCACGAGGGCGGCGTCGGCCGGTGCGGGATGCGCGGCGGCACCCGGTGAGGGCGAGGCAGGTGCCGCGGTCACCACAGTACCAGCGGGCGACTGCGGCGCCGTGACGAAGCCGGGCTCCTGCGACTGAGACTCCTGCGACTGCTCCGTCTGGGTTTCGGGGAGGTCCAGACGCTCACGCTGTACCGGGTAGAAGGAGCACGGGCTTTCCTGTGGGAAAGCACACAATTTCGCCATTAGTTTTGGCGAAGGGTCGAGGCTATGTGGTGATTATTCACGACAGACTGATAATTAGTGAAAACATCACTCATGCCCTCGCAGTTCGCTCCATCTTTCACCACCTGGATTTTCCGACAGGAACTAGTCGGATTCGCACGTCCTGCGCTCTATCTCACGGGCGATGATGCTAATGCCAACGAACGACGGGCGGCACCGAACGACAAACGACTGCTCACGGTCCGCGACCGCACCCGCCGCTCACCTGGGAGCTCCCCGTCGAGGTCTGGGTCTCCGGACACGCCGCCGCCGGCCGCTGGGCACCCTTCTCGGCGCCGCGCAACACCATGCCGTTCGCCAGCCTCTGCCGTCGCGGACTGGGCGACTGAGCCGACGGCGGCGAGCCGCGTCTCACGGGTGAGCCCCGCAGCCCGCGGCGTGCCACGGCCAGGGGGTGGCCCCCGGGCGACCGCCTCTCCGGTGGAGGCGTGCTGGCAGCGGCCGACGCGAGCGCCGCTGGGTCTGGGGCCGGACCGGCCACAGACGCCACCGGCGCCGGCGCGACGGCGGCCGTCCGGCGTTGCGATGCCCTCAGCACCGGGCCGCGGACGGCTGCCGCCGACTCTGCTGGCTGGACGACACCGCTCGCTTCGTTCACCATTGACCTCAGGATTCGACCCTGGACGACTGCTGACGCCTTTTCGGGATGGGCCGCTTTGGCTGGGGATGACTCATGGCCGTTTGATGTTAGGGCTGGACCCTGCGGCGCCGATGCTGCCACCGTCTCCTCCGGCAAGCCGGTCGCGTCCGCACGTGTTCCGTGGCCGCGCGACCCCAGAGTCGATCCCTGAGCGACGGCCGGCTGTTCCGGCTGCGCGGCGGCACCTGCGGACGCCCCGTCGGCCGCCGGGTGTTCGCCTCTATCCAACAGCACGACCACGCGCCGCCGGATCTCGTCCGCGCCGGCGCTGCCCGCGTCCAGGAGCACCACGAGCGCCTCGTCCTCAGCCCGAAGGACCAGCTCCAGGCCGGACGTGTACGTCTCCTCGTCCTGTAGCGCGTCGGTCACGCGCAGACGCAGCAGCTGCACATAACACAGCCGGTCGTCCGCGCGGAGCTTCTCCAGCGTGGCCAGGCAGCGCCGGTCGGCGACGCGCACGTGCACGCCCTCGGCCCGCTCGCGCAGCACGATTGTCTCCTCCGTCTCGGGCAGGTCGGCGCCGTCGTCGTCCGGCGGGCGTGGCTCGACCATTGGCAAAGCACATCGCGTGCCGTCGCGCACCAGTAGATACGCGGGCCGGCCGGCGTCGGCGCTGCGTAGCTCCAGCGCCTCGCAGCGCACGTTGTAGAGCCCCGGCCCACCGACCTGGCTGAAGGTTGCGTCGACGACGAGGCCTTGCCTCTCCTGCCAAGGGCGCAGCACCGCCCACCATTCGCGCAGCCAGATCAGCCGCGCGCGCTCGGCGTCCGTGACTTCTACCCCCGCGGCCGGGCCCAGCGGATCCAGCGGCTCGCTCACGCCGCCCGAGAACACCGTCAGCGCCGAGCCCTGGAACACGCGGCCGTCCAGCTTGCCGTTGTGGCTCTCGATCTTGAGGTGGCGCGCGCGCAGCACGTTGCCCACCTGCAGGCCGTAGTTGGCATCGAGCGCTGGCAGCTCGCTGAGGCTGCGCACGAACACGAATACCATCAGGTCGAAGCGCTCCGGGTCTGCGGTGCAGCAGGACGGGTCCTTGATGGCCGCCATGGCCATGAAGCCACGCACCGTCCGCCGTAGCGCCTGAGGCACCGACACAATCACGCCCATGACGTGGGGCCGCTGGCGCAGGAACGGATCGCCTCTGCCGACGTCCACAATAAGCGTGTACGGCTTGCCCGGGTCGCTGGCTGGCGCGCCCGACAGGAACCTGTCCAGCGCCGTGGGCCGCGCGTCTGACCCAGACGGAGCTGGCGGCACGGCGGGCGAGGCGCCGGTCGGACTCCGTGGTTGCTGGTTAGCGTCTGGCGCAGTGGCCGCGGCAGCCGGACCGGCCGGCGCCCGGCCAGGCAGTGACGCGCTCGCAGTGGCCGCCGTCGCCGCGTCCGTCCGGTTGGGTTCCGCCGCGGCCGCCGCGGCGGCTGGGGCGGCGGGCGCCGGCTCCTGACGCTCCGCGCGGCGTGGCGGCTGCTCGGCCAGCAGCTCCGGCGAGGGGTCGCGCTCCATCGGCGCTCCGTCCGCCGCCTCTGAGACGGGGTCCCGCTGAGCTGCGTGCCGTCGCGACCGCCGCCGCAGCCGCCGTCCGCCGCCACCTGCACGCGGCGACCCCTCGGTCACTGCCGCCTCGTCCCGCGGCTCCTGCCTCGATGCCGTCTCGTCCCGCGGCTCGTGCCTCGATGCCGCGTCGTCTCGCGGATCTTGCCTCGATGCCGCCTCGTCCCGCGGCTCGTGCCTCGATGCCGCCTCGTCCCGCGGTCCCTGCCTCGATGCCGCGTCGTCTCGCGGATCTTGCCTCGATGCCGCCTCGTCCCGCGGCTCGTGCCTCGATGCCGCCTCGTCCCGCGGCTCGTGCCTCGATGCTGCCTCGTCCCGCGGTCCCTGCCTCGAGGCCGCCTCGTCTCGCAGATCTTGCCTCGATGCCGCCTTGTCTCGCAGATCTTGCCTGGATGCCGCCTGGTCCCGCGGCTCCTGCCTCGATGCCGCCTCGTCCCGCGGCTCGTGCCTCGATGCCGCCTCGTCCCGCGGTCCCTGCCTCGGTGCCGCCTCGTCTTGCAGATCTTGCCTCGATGCCGCCTTGTCTCGCAGATCTTGCCTGGACGCCGCCTCGTCCCGCGGCTCTTGTCTCGATGCCGCCTCATCCCGCGGCTCCCTCTTCGACGTGCCCTCCTCGCCTGGCGTCAGCCGGCCGCGTCGCGCCACTGCGCCATCCTCGGCAGCGGCCACCCTGCGCGCCTTCCTGCGTCGCATGCGCGGCGAGCTCGCAGGACTGTCCACGCTGTCGGACGCCGCGCGCGCGCGCCGGCCGGCACCCGAACCGTTCTGCCGGCAGGCGGCGCAGTCGCCCCGCCCCGTAATGTGGAACACGACGACAACCGACAGGTCGGCGTCGCGCAATAGCAGCATACAGTCGCTGTACTGCGGACAGACGGCGTCCTCCTTCCAGCGCCATACGACCGGTCGGTATACGCACACCGCGTCTCCGCTGCGGATCTGGGCGTCGGCCCGCCGCGCCCGCGCTCCGACCAAGCAGCAGCGGTACGGCCGCTCGTCGACGCTGCCGTCCGTCCGCACCTCGCGCAGCAGCAGGGACTTGATGCCATCTGGCTCGTAGTACGGGTACGCCTGTTTGACAATGCCCAGCAGCCAGGCGTCGTCGGTGGCAGACAGGCAGTTCTCAATCAGCGCATGGTGACCCACCAGGTAGCTGCACTGGCTGGCACAGCAGACCTCTCTGATTTGAAATGACTCACTGTCATCTGGAGCATTCATTCTGGGCAGAGAAGATGCCTGTGGTCAAGAGTCCCCCATGTTGAGTTTGTTCAAGTAGGTCATGGTTATAACAGGCATAATCAAAAGTGAAAATGATGAAAAGCAAATGATAATGAATTATCATCTTAACTGCACAGTACCAATCATT